TTCATACTCACGGGGAAACTGCCCTCTTTCATACCACGCTATCCACGTGGGCCACAGTCATACTCCCAGCCAGCTCAAATCTCCGAGCTGCCACACGGGGCGAAGGGCGACCCCACATCCGTCTCCGGATGCAGCTCGTCAGCGGAAACGTGGACGTAGCCAGGCAGCCCACACGCTTGCAACCCGTCCCTTCTCCAGCTGACGTAGGATTTCTAACGGCCCGACCGGGCCCCATTCCCCTGCCACCCAGGTCCTCCGCCTCAGCGCACCCAGAACCAAGACCGGCGAGACCCACCCGCTTCCCTGACCTCACCGAAACCTTCGTGCGGGTCAACCGCCTTCTCCCGGCAGCGGGCCCAGGCGGCGGCCACCCCCCCCTGGCCCAGAGACGCGCTCGCAGCAGCCCAGGGTATGTTGGGAAGATACGTTGCCTGCCTCACAACTTCTCATGTCAATGAGTTCGCAAGAGGCATCCAGGCCCGACTCAACTACGAGATGGATAGACAAAGCCAGAGAAGGCCAATCGCACAATACAAGTGGGGCATGTTCGCGGTCATATGGCTCCTGCAATTCACTGACCCAGCACGGCTGGACCGCGATCACGTCTACCAGCTCATCGGTGAATTTGGGATACGGGAAGAAGTCCTCAGACAGCTCCTCTTTACCCAATGGCTAGCCCCTCAACCGGACCCGACGTACACAGCACACACGTACCAGCTGGAGGTACCAGGATCCCGCGGGACGGATGTGGAGGGAGGCGCCTCCCTCACTTTTGAGCCGGGCACAGACCGCCTGCTCCTGGGACTGCAAGAGAGAGTGGCTCAGCGACACTGGGACGACCGCCAGAGGACAGTCCCAGGAAGAAGCTCGAGGGCCTCTGGACGGAGCAGATCGACCAGACCTAGAACCCAGCCTGCCGTCACACCCTGCACCCCAGCCCCCCCCCCGCATCGGCGACCAACCAAGGAGAGGCGGCATCAGCCAACAGGGAACAAGAGACCGCGAGGCGGCCTGGGCAGTCGGATCGCCACGGCCCTACGGCCCCACAGGACCCCAACCCACCCGCCCCGCCCGCGGGGCGCGTGCCAGCCGTCCCCCACCCCACATCGAACCGCCCACCTGTTCCCCATTCCCTCCCCCGGAGCGGGTCCCGCCCCCGCCTCGAACGCCCCCGTCGGCAGCATGCGGGCAGGCCCGACATCCGACGCCAACCTCCCACGGGACCACAGGCAAAGTCGCGGAGGCCCCCCACGCCCCCAGTCAGACTCACTTAGCACTCGTTCCGCAGGAGACCCTCTTGCCCGGGGAGACGCTCCCCCCCCGGGGGCGGCGCTTCCAGCCTGCTCGGAGAGGGAGTGCGGTTCTGCCCTTAGGAAGACAGCAGCCACCCTCGCCAACGCTGCCGCGGCCTCAGAGGAAGCACTGGCAGCTCAGCTCCGCGACCCTGCGAACCGCAACGGATGGCAGCAGCTACTGAGCAACGTCGCCCGGTGCGCTAGCCTCCCCCAGTTAGATACGCGCCTCCAGCGCGTTTTCGCCAACCGCGACGCCCCTGCCCACCTACCCAACCTATTCGGAAATTTCTGGAACAACCGTCCTCCCCCAGGCACCAGGAATGCCGTGCGCAGGCCAATGGTCGCCAGGCACGCGGCCATCTCACTAGATGCTGCGCGCGCAGACCTTCGAGCTCTTTCTTCGCAGACAGGGGGGCCAGATCGGATGCCCTAGACTCCCTTCTCGCTGATGTGGAACAACCTCCTCAACCAAATGATCCTGGCGGGCGCCGGCGGCAACCCTTCGGCATCACCGCAGCAGGGGCTGGTCGCCCAGCTGTCTCCAGCCGGCAGGCTGATTCGAGGCGGCCTGACGACACCCGCCCCACAGAGCCCGGGCCCACGACCACTCCCGGAGCCCACCAAGGAGGCACCATCCTCCCTGGTGATCCTATAACCCCCAGGGGCACACCCCGCTGTCACCGGGCCGCCAGCCGAGGCCCCCAACGCCTCCCCGCAGCAGACGATACAGCAGCCCGCCCCTGAGCCACGGGAGCCCCTGGGCGCCCCCCCTCCCAGCAATCCCACAAGTGGAGCTGCCAGAGGGTCCACAATCACCGGCTTCCTCCGAAGAGCAGCGGCACGCCTTCCCAGATCAGCCAGACATCGGTCCCGCACTTCGAACAGGCACCCGGGCCCTGCGACGGCTCTGGGGCCCCCTCAAGCAACGGAGCAAGCTAACCCTCGGAGGGGCGTCAGGCGCGCGCCGCCCCAAGCCCACCGGAGAACAGCAGGGCCCAACGCGGGAGGGGGGCGTGAAAGAGATCCCCACCCAGACGAGCCCACCTCCCAACCAGCGGCTTGGCATCGCTCGGACGTGTGCATTTTTCCTTCGGCGAGGACCATCTAGGAGCATCCTTGATCATTTGGCGAAAAAAACCACGCACGAAACCGAAAAAACACAGGGAGTGGACGTCCGAGCGATGGCGAGGCGGCCATTGACGTCCTACAGCAATTGTGGGAGCGGCACAGGCAGGACGACACCGGCACCTCCCTGATCGCCCCCGCTGACCCCGTCCTCGCGGCATACCAGGTAGCGGGCCTGCGAAATTCCCAAATCATTGACATTGCACGAGCACTCGAGCAACAAGGGGCAGTAGCTCAGCTTCCGGGTGGTGCCCCCTGGGACGTGGCAGGCTCTGTCTTGGTACAGCGAAACGGGGACTTGGACCTCGCGCAGCTCGCGGGGGTGGCAATAGCGGGCGCCCCAAGTGCCACGGCCGTTCCAAGGCCCATCCCCTCCGACACCTCGGGCGGACAAACTCTCCACCTCGTCTCCCTGTTTGACGCATGGGGGCTGGCCAGATACGCCGTTGGCGACCTCGTCAGCAGGATGGGATTATCGTACCGCTTTGCCTCGTCAGCCTTCTCCGAATGCAACGCCGAGGCAGCCCAACGGGTGGGCCACTACTGGAGCCGCGGTTCCCCCCGCATCGTGGACGGGGCCCCCCCCACGCGCAACTCTCGGCTGACGCGTGGGACCTCGTCCGCCCCGCCGACCCTGGCCATTCAATATGGACCAGATACTTGGACACCGTCCCCGCAGGAAGCCTCTTGTTGATCGTTGGGGGGAGTCCCGCAACAACCTCTCCGCAGCCGGGACCCACGGAGGCTCAGATGGACTGGCAGGCCATCGTTCGGTCCACTTCTTCGCCATACCCATGGCATGGCTAACAGCCGTCAGGCGCCGGCCAGACATCCAGGTGATAGTCATTGGTGAAAATGTCTCCCCGATGCAGAGGCTCCTGAGCGCCTGAGCGTTCTGCGGAGGCTTCTGAGGTTCCGAGCGCCTGAGCGTCCTGCAGATGCTTCTGGGGCTCCCGGGCGCTTGAGTGATCTGCAGAGGTCTCTGAGGATAAGGATGAGGAGCGGGCGGAGGAGGGGGGCCGTTTTGCTGCTGCTACTGCCAGGTTGCTGATCTCCGGGGCGCTTGGAGGGCCGCTTGGGGGAATTGTGCCAAAGATTTCTTGGACGCATGTCCGCCCTCCTGGATACGCATGTTTCCGCGAAGGTGCATACAGTAGGTTTTGCGATTGCCGCCCGATGAGGCGCGAGGGCAAAAATGTTAGCAAGGCCAAAACATGCAAGTTAAAATTCGCATGCATTGGCTATAATTGCATCCACGATGTCTTGTGCACATTTCCGCCCCCTGGGTACGCATGTTTCCGTAATGCGCACATCTGAAACTTACATGTATTGGCTAGAAATGTACCAATGATTTCTTGGGCACATGTCCGGTTTCCTGGGTACGCATGCTTCCGCACATGCGAAAACATACGGTTGTGTTTTTGTCGGACGATGAGACGCGAGGACGAAACATGTCTATGGTGCAACAACAGTTCTTGAACTCCACATGTATTGGCCAGAATTTGACAAACGTTTTCTTGTTTTGACGACATATCCGCTCTCCTGGGGGCGCGCGTGTTCCTGTGCGTCGTTTGCGGCGAACGCGATAAAGGCAACATTTGCAGGCAGAGGTCCGGAGGCTCCAACAAAACGATGTAAATTTAGGGCATATATGTAAACAAAAGAGTCAACTACCCAGGCCTGGCACCTGCCTGTAGCGGGAGGATCCCGATTGGATATCAATTGGGTTCCAATAGCTGCTTTTGGGTACCACAAGGATATCAATAGGACACCAATCGGGGTACAGTATGATTCAAAAAGGATTGTTTTTTGCTGGGTTACAGTTGGGCCGTGATGGGATTATATTATGCCCATATGGATAGAAAACGAAGGATTCCGATGGGATTCCAGTGTGATGTCCTTCGTGTTGACCTATATGTCTTCGATGGGATCCCAAGAGAATGTATTCTTGTTGTTTTCGATCGGGAACCCCAAAACAATCCCCACCGGGCTGCCGTATAGTACCCCAGTGCGTTTCCCGCAGCATTCCAATAGGACGGTTCCTCGATTGTTATCCAATGGTCTTCCCAATTGGTTTCCATTAGGAAGGGCCCCTAAGGGTTTCAATAGGAAGACTCCATATCGGTTTCCGATAGGACACCCGTAGGCCCCATAGCGAGGAATCTTGTTGGATACCAATGGGATTCATCCGGTGCCAACAGGGTCCCACTAGGAAGGGTGCAGCTCGATTCCAGTAGGATTTCTTTTGGATCCCATTAGGAACCCGCCACTTCACAGTTTCTCGCTTCAGACGAGTCACTTTACAACTAACACGCTTCAGAGAGCGCGTTGTCTCCCTTACGTAGACCCACGGATATTTCGGAAAGTGTAGAGCATGTGTCGATTATGTGCGTTTCCTTGCGTGGCTGCAACATGGCCTTCCTGCTTGTGAAGTGCTATTGTGGGAAAACCCATGCTGGCTGTAAAGTGCCCCATCTGGTTGCAGAGTGGCCGCTCTGGTTGGGAGGTGACCCGCACGCCCGTTCCCGGCCACCCCCCTCTGGCACCACCGACGCCTTGCCCGCGCTCGCGCCCGAAGAGGCTCTGGGCGCGGCCGCGGCGCCGATGACCGCCTTGGACGTCGCGCGCGCAATCGGCAAGGTGGCGGGCTTCTCGGGTGGCCGGTCCTTGTCAGGCGCATCGTAGGAGGAGGATGGGCTCATGGGGGGGGGGAAGCATCGAACCCCAATCGCCCATGGACCGCCGACAGGGTACCCGATAGACCACCCACCCGGTTGTGCTATCGGTGACCAGTCGCCGAATTATCGTCGATGTGTCGCCGATTCCATGCCGATGTTCCTTCCCTTGAGCCAGTCCCCCCCGTCGTTCCCCTCACCTTGCCGGGGCTTCCGAGGGGCTCGCTGTCCGCGCGCGCGGGGCAGTGGTTCCCTAGGCTTATGATGTTCCAACCTACTTTAGCCATGACCACTAGAAAGAATTTGGAGCGCCCAAAAAAGTACCGAAACTCAAGGGTTTTCACGTGTCGGGCCCTGGGAGACACTCGCCCGACACTGTTTCGAAACTGTTTCGACGCTCTTTTGACACTTTTCCGGGTGCTCGAAATTATTTCAGGGATGTGGTCTTTAAGTCGGATGGGGACAACATAACCCAAGGCATGCTCGCGTCGTGACAAATCTCACGAGGGGAAGTTTTTGGCACCCCATGGGGGGCCTTCGCCTGGCCCAGGGGCCGTTTAGCAAACCGGTCGAGAGGAGAACAGGCCCCCAGGGAAGGGGTCCAGACGTCTGCGGGTCCACTTTCTGAAACAACTCGCGACGTCGGGGCGCTGGGACCAGAAGTCATCTCTTCCCTTCGTCTTCCGAGAACGTTCCCCGGTTTCGGCGTAAACGTTGCCCGGTGGCGTGCCCCGCCCATTTGCAACAGGTGGCCACAGTAACGGGCCTATCTTGTACGAATGATGGCATGACAAGGGGCGCGATGCGTTATGAAAGTTACACAGGGTGGCCTACGCGTTGCATGCATGCCTATATCAGTGGGCATCGACCAGGAAGGCGAGGTTTCATGTAGGTCCGCAGAGGGCACCACTCCGTTTGACCTGCCAAGGGCTCATGGAAGTGGCGAGCGCCGCGCAGTTGGCAGCGCCCAGGGCGGCGAAGTGTCATCTGGACCCGCGCAGGACTCCACTCGACTGGCACAGCTGGCAGCGCCCAGGGAGGCGAAGTCTCGCTTGGATCCGCGTAGGACACCACCCCGCTGGACCTCAGTGGGCTCACGAAAGTGGCGTCAGTTGCGCAGTTGGCAGCGCCTAGGGAGGGCCATGTCTCTCATGGACCCGCGTACGACACCACTGCGCTGGATCTCCCATAGAGGCGGCCCCCAAAGAGGCGAGGTCTTATTTGGTTCCGCGTAGACCTACGGATTCACAGAAGTTGCGTCAGTTGCGTGAGTGCCACCCAGCAGAAGGGGGCGCGGTTTCGCTTGGATCCGAGTAGGACATCGTTGCGCCAGATCTCGCAAAGGCTTACAAAGTGGCGACAGGTGCTCAATTGGCAGCCCCCAGGGAGGGTGAAGTCTCGCTAAGCTCCTCCAAGGAGCCTACGAAAGTGGCAACAGGTACTCAATTGGCAGCCCCCAGGGAGGGCGAGGTCACGTTTGGACCCGCGCGGGACATCGCTGCGCTGGACCTCCCAGGGCCCACGACGGTAGCGACACTTGCGCAGTTGACAGCACCTAGACAGGCGGGGAGGGCAGGGAGAAGGGAGAAGACGAGAAGGAGAGGAGAAGGCGACAGCAGTGCTCCATTTATACCGAGAACCTAGCGCAGAAGTGTTGGGAATAGACTGCGGGAGCTCCGCTCGCATTTCTTGGGGCGCGCTGGATCCCGCTGTCGGCGCCTCCAGTGCCGCCCGTGGCGCGCTCCTCGCACCAGGGAGGGGGGAGGGAACGGGACCCAGCGCCGACAGTAGAAGTCCGGTCGGACAACCGGAAGTTGATGTTGATGTGTGCAGTTCTTTTTTATATCATTTCCCACTTCTTCCTCCCCCGATTCATCTCTGCGCCCCCCCCGTCGGGGCGCATGCGTTCCTCATGGATCGCCACGTCGAACTCCGACTAAAGCCCTCTTGCATCCTCGCCCTCCTCCCTCCTCACCCTGTATCCGTCCGCCCTCATACTTCTCCCTCCTTCCTACCTCGTCTCCCCTCCCTCATCCCTCCCTTCTATATTGTTTCCTGCTCCTTCTTCCTCATCCCCACTTCCCTCCTTTTCCCTGGGCGGGCAGTGCGGATGCGCGCGGTCTCTCGGGATTGCCTCAGCGGGGCTGGTTTTCTCAGATGCCCCCGTGGAAGGAGCGAGCCAAAGACGTGAACCCGACGCTGTTCCGCCTGAAGAGGGACCATGCGCCCTCCCCGCCTCCCCCCCATCTCCCTGTCTCGTTCCCGTGCTGCTCTATTCCCCCTGCCCCCCGGTGTCCCCCTTTTCCTCCCCTTTCCCCCTCCTTTTCCCCTTTTCCCCCCCTTTCCATGCCTTTCGCTGCCGCCCCCTTCCCCCTTTGCTGCGTCTTCATTGTGCCTGCCCGCGTGCGTAGGTGCAGGCCGGGCGAGCTAGGCCACTGACGACCCCCTGGTTTTATGGTATACATGTCTGCGCATAGATCATGCATTTATAGCATTGCACCCATGGGCACACGTATAATACACCTACAGACATTCATATGTATAGAGGTGTGTAAATATGTAGATTGTGCCGCGACGGTTGTTTCGGTGCGCGGCGTTATATCATGGGGAGAGCGCCTCGGCCACCAGGGCAAACTCCGCCTCAAACGCAGGGTTTGCCGTGAGCTCGCCGCGGTGCCAGTTTCGTTGATTCGGGCGTTTTAAGAACAAACGGCGTGGCTCTGCCTCTCTCTCTCTCTTTCTTTTTTTCTTTATCTCTCTCTCTCTCTATATATATATATACACATACATACATATGTATACACATACATATATATATATATATTCGTTTAAATATATACACACATTACACCGTTGCTGCCCTCTCCACCTCTGTCTGTCACTTTTTTATACGTATATACGTGTACCAACCAGTGTGGACCCCAGACAGTGTGCTTCTCACACCATACGACGTCCAATGTATGTGGAGCGGTCTCTGGAATGCAATTGTTTTTTTTACAAACGAGTTGACACACTCCATGCCCTTGCAACCATCCCACCTGCCCACCCGCAACTTGGTTTGCAAAACCCATGCGGTGGCGATTGCGATGCATGCTTGGGGTTGGCAGGTGCATCTCTGAGGCCGCACCAGTCCAAACACGCGCGCGCAGTGGCCTGCGAGTTTGGCGCGACCGAGGCGGCCGCCGCCGGGCACTTCCACCGGGCACTTCAGTGTTAGTCGGCGACTTGGGCGAGCGCGGTATCATGGCACTGCCGACAACGGTAGCCACGCTGATGATAGCAGCGATGCTGGTGACGGTATTGAACGACGTCGGCGCGGCCGATGACGGCATTTTCGCATCGGTGATGAAGGTTTTGGAAAGAGTTCGACATGCGCGCGCGGCCGACGCGCGAGGGTGGCCGCATTGCACTTTTGACGCGCATCGAGCCCCCCCCCCAGCACGTGCGCAAGGGCGTTCGAATGATGTCGACGCGCGGCGCCAGAGAAAACCGGTTGCTTCATGAGAGTTCGCAAGAGCGCAAGCGCGCGCTTTTTTGAAAGTTGATGTTGCGAGACCAGATGCTTTTAATTTTTGTATATATATGTATATATACACACAAACCTCGGTTTTGACATTGCCGCGAAACCGAAGGTGCTTGACTGATTTCGGCATGCGCGCGCGACAGCGCGCGCGCGTGCACTTCGTTTTTGTTGCCAAGGATTCTCGCGACGGCGCGCGCGCGAGGGCATTCGAGCGATTTGGACATGCGCGCGCGAGAACCATTGGTAGCATCGCCTGGTAACGTTTGAAAAAGCTGTTTCTTTCCGGGGGAATTCGCAAGAGAGCGTGCTCTTTTTTTTTTGGGGGGGGGTGAAAATCCGCGCTGCGAAACCACATGTTCAATGTGTGTTTTGAACACTCGATTTCGAAATCTGCATGGGACCTCGACTTTTCGAATGATTCAGGCCCGCGCGCGCGACAACTCGCGCGCGCGCCTTTCGTTGTATTTCTTGCCGGGGGTCTTGAAAACTGATGATGTGCGATGCGCGAACGCGCGCGCATGGGGGGCGGGGATGATGGGGATGGGCGCGGGTTTGGCGGGGATGGTACGAGTTCATTTTGAGGGTGGACGATGGGCCACAATCATATGCAAATTGCAGCACGCAGCGGGGGCGCCGATAATCTGGGCGGGGCACGGGCGGGTGGGTGGGTGGGGGGGGGGGGTAGAGTTTATTCTTATTTAGGAAAGGGGGATGCATGTTGTGCCGGAATTGTTTTGCAATCTACGTTGCGCATGTCGCGCAACATATGTGGTGGAATTCGTGCATGTGGCGTTGCGATCAGTGCGGTGCAACCTACCGCGTGCAATTAACTGATGTTCGCACTGGCATGTCCACTCCACTGCTCGCGCAATCACCCCGCCCGCCCGCCCGCAACTTGTTTTGAACAAGAGTACATGCGACGGCGATGGCGATGGATGCTTGGAGTTGGTTGGCGCGTCTTTGCGGCCGCGCTTGCCCGCGCATGCTCGCTCGCGCAGTGACCGCATCTGCGATGGCCAAAAACAGTTCTAATAGTGGGGTATGCCAAGTTAAGTTGATCTTCCAGATCTTAACTTGATCTTCCAGATCTTGACTCGACATGCCAGATGTTGCATAACTTGAGCGGCGCAGGTTGCGGAAGAGACGGAACCTAGTTTTTCTTTGTTTTGAAGAGACGGTTTGTACAGTGGTTCTAGTTGTGAAAGTTTGGTTTGGGAGTGGTTCTAGTTGTGGACGGCGCGTTCTAGCTAGTTTCCCCAATGCAGAAATAAATCATTATATAGAGAGAGAGGGAGAGAGAGAGAGAGAGAGAGAGAGAGAGAGAGAGAGAGAGAGAGAGAGAGAGAGAGAGAGAGAGAGAGAGAGAGAGAGAGAGAGAGAGAGAGAGAGAGAGAGAGAGAGAGAGAGAGAGAGAGAGAGAGAGAGAGAGAGAGAGAGAGAGAGAGAGAGAGAGAGAGAGAAAAAAAAAAAAAAGAGAGAGGAGAGAGAGAGAGAGAGAGAGAGAGAGAGAGAGAGAAAACAAAACAACATGACAAATCATACGAATAATAATAAGAAGAAGAAGAATAAGAAGAAGAAGAGAGGAATGAAAAAATGCGCCGCGGACGCAGGTGTTCTACAATTTCTTTTTTTTTCAAGCAAAAAAATGCGCTACGTCTGCCCCTCATGGCGCCCCATTGATGTTGTTTTTCCTCCCCGAGCGCTTTGCGCTGCCAGCGCTTCATGTTTTCATGTTTTCGACACTATCCAGCGCTTTGCGCTGCTCCGCTTTGCGCTGCCCCCATCCCCCCAGCGCTTGCGCTGTCCCCCCGCCAGCGCTTTACATTTGGCACTATCCAGCGCTGTGCGCTGCTCCTCCCACCTCCAGCGCTTTGCGCTGCCCCCCCCCCCCCCGGCGCTTTCGCTGCCCCCCCGCCGGCGCTTGCGCTGCCCCCCCCCTTCCAGCGCTCTGCGCTGCCCCTTCCCCCCCCCTCTAGCGCTTTACGCTGATCCTCTCCCCATCCAGCGCTTGCGCTTTTCCCCCGCCAGCGCTTGCGCTGCTCCCCCCTTCTCCAGCGCTTTGCGTTGCTTCCCCCCCATCCAGCGCATTGCGCTGCCCCCCCCCCGGCGATTGCGCTGTTCCCCCGCCAGCGCTTGCGCTGCCCCTCCCTCCTCCAGCGCCTTGCGCTGCTCCTCCGGCGCTCGGGCTGTTCCTCCCCCGCCCGGCGCTCGCGCTGCTCCTGATTCAGCGCCTCGCGGCCCCCGTCCATGGCCGTTTCCTGGCTCGAGCGTTCGCGCTCAAACGCCGCGCGAAGGGCGCGGCGGCGTGGCCCCCCAGCGCCGCAGCGCTCGCGCCCCAGCGGCACGGCGCCGAAGGGCGCCAGGTATCGCTCTCGAACGAGGCCCCGCCCTCCTCACCCCCCCCCCTCACCTCCTCCTCCTCGACCCCCCCCCCCCGCCCGCTCCCGAGGGTTCGTCGGGGGCGACGCGCGTTGCGGGAGCTCCTCCATCGCGGGCGCGCGACGCAGCAGGGGCTCTCGAAGATGCCCGAGGCGATTCGCGAGGCGGCGGCGGACTTTCCCGCCGAGGCAACGAGGCAGGAGATCAACGGGGCGAGCCATGAACGGTTCGAGCGCGTCAACCACGAGTTGAACACGCCGCTGGTGAGCGGCGGAAGCTGGAGCTGCCCCCTGGCGGAGCCGAACAGGCCACTCTCCATGATGGCATCAGGGAGCGGAGCGCTGCGAGAGTTGTTCGCGGCCGCGCTGCGGCGATGCGGCGCTCCGAGCCGGGGGCGCCCGTGGACGCTGGCTTTCGGGCACGATGAGTTCAGCCCTGGCGGCGCGCTCGGCGTCGGCGACGGCAGGGGGGGTCGCTCGCGTTCCTGGAGCTCGGGGTGCACAACATTCGCAGTGGCAACGCGTGGTTCACACCTGTGGTTGTTCGCCGCAGCTGGTTCAGGCAGGTCCAGGGCGGCCGGGGCGCCATGTTTGGCAAGCACCTGAAGCTGCACCTGCTGTCTCGGACTGGCCTTTTCGACGGCAGGCGCCCCTATGATTGTCTTCGGCACGGGCGCTCTCATCTTCGCGCGCGTCGAGTTCATGATCGCCGATCTCGAAGGCCACCGCGCGTCGTTGAACAGCAGCGGTGCCAGCTGCTTCAGGCCGCGCATGCGACATTGCATCGCGCTCGAGAAAACCAGGCGCGGCTGAGTTGGACCCAGCAAGATTCGTTGACGTCGCTTGCGCAGATCCGACGCGGTTCCGATTGCACACCAGCGCAGGTGCGTTCGTTGCTGCTGATCTTGTCAGCGCGGCGCGCGCTCGGTGGACTGCAGGGGCAATGGCAAAGGACCGCTTCGAGAAACTGCTAATGACGCGCGGGCTCAAGTTCGCGCCCCACGGCGCCCCGTTGGGCCTTGAATTGCGCCGCCATGTGGACGCAGCGGACAGCGCTGTCATCGATTGGGCCCCACCTCATTGCAAGATGGAGCATTCACCACAGAGGTTGCTTTGTTGGCGCAGGCGTGCGGGGAGGAGCTGGACGTCAAATTTGGGGATCTCCGAGAGCGCGCGAAGGACGGGCGGCTGCCCCCTGCAAATGGGAGAGCGAAGTCGAAAGAGTTGCGCAATCTATTCGACGAGTGCCGCGCCCCGAAGGAGGGCGCCATACTCGGCTCTGCGTCAGAGCTCCCTGGCATGCGCGCGCTTCTCGGGCGAACTCCTCCTCCTCCTCCTCCTCTTCCTCCTCCTCTCCCCCCCCTCCTCATCCTCCCCCTCCTCCTCCCCCTCCCCCCCTTCCTCCTCTGCCCTCCTCTCTCCTCCCCCGTTTCCTCCTCGCCCCCCTCACCCCCCCGGGCATGTCGCGCAGTTGCGCATTTTCGACGCGGCGCTCGACGAGCAGGCGGCCTCTTTCCAAGCTGCGCGCGCGACGCTGGACTTGACGCGCGCGGCGCAGCAGGGCCGCGTTGGCTCGCGCGAAGGGGCGGCGCAGTTGCGGCGAGCCCATGCCGAGCACCTTCGACTGCATAAAGAGGCGTGCGGCACAGCGAACATCCCGCCGAAACACCACGTGATGTTTGACGTGGCCGACCAGTGGGGGCGCGAGGGGGAGGCCAGCGCCGCTGTGATAGATGCATGTGTTGTCGGGCGGTTGCGCGCCAGGATAAAGTATTGCATGGGCCCGATCGACAATGCCGGGAAATTTGAAGCGCCATGCCTGGCGTCTGTGATTAATGTCCACCTGATGGCCTCGGAGGACCGCGCGTTCGGCGATGGCATCTTGGGGGGGGGGGGGGGGGGCGTCGTTTCTCAATGGGACGCGGGTGCCAATAGCAGATCGAATGTCTGTCTCTGGCCTCGCCATCGAGGTTGGTGACGTCGTTCCACTCGCAGGAGTTGCTGGCAGATTGCGCGCCTGCGCCGTTGATGACGGCAATCACCCGGCATTGGTGGAGACGTTCGAGCACGTGGTCAAGCTGTCGGCGCACTCCGACCGATGGAGGGTTGGAGGCGCCATTCAGGCGTGGCGCGCGGGCGCCGTGCTCTCGGCGCCTGCGCGGTGCATGCGCGGCGATGACGTCGCAGCGTTGCGATTGGTGTTGCGCCGCGCGCTGGAATGCTGGAGGTCCCTTCCCCCGTGCTGCTATCTTAGCGCTGCGCGCTCCATCCAGCCCTCGCGCCGTCGATCGATCTCGCTGTTGTCCCCGCCCCTTTTCCAAGCGCAAGCGCTCTTCCCCCCCTCCTCCTTCTCACTGACCCGCTAGTTCAGCCTGCCCGCCGCCCTCCAATGACGCTCGCGGAGGCAGCTGCCCGCCACGCGCGCAGTCCTGCATTTCCCCCCCATCCACCCCTAATGAGGCGCACGCACCTGAGCTGGGCACGGCGCCGCCGAGGCGCTTGACCGCTCGCTCTGCGCGCGCGCGCGCGTCGCCAAAAAACAAATAGTGGCGGGTGGCAGATAGGGGGGCCGCGCGGAGGGCGCGATGGCGGCCCACCGGGCTGGGCGCCCGAGGGGCACGGCGGGTGGCAGCGGCCTGCGGGCCCGAGAGGGCGAGCCAAAGAGGCGCGAAGGAGATCCCAGCGATCCAACCGAGGACGGTCCAGGATCAGCATGGGCGTCGGGGGCCGCGTCATCGCTGCGGTCGGTTCTCAAGGCGGGATAGGAGGGGGGGGCGCAGGGGGGGTGGGGGGGCGCGGGGGGCCACGGGCGCGTCGCCCAGGCGCGCGTCTGCCGAGGACGGATCGCCGCCGGAAGCGTTGTCATGGGCGGCGTCGGATGCGTCACAGGGAGCCCGAAGGGTGTTTCAGTCGGGAACGGAGTCGGGTGGGGAGCTGAGTGGGATGTGAAGCGTTGTGCTGAGCGGCGCCGGGGACGTGCAAGGCCCTCACACACAACATGCACACTCACACGCACGCGAACCAAAACATCTTCACACACACACACACACACACACACACGCAGACACCAACATGCATACCCGCACTGGCGTTGCTGCTACTATGCTGCTCTTGTTGCTGCTGTCGCAGATGCTGGTGCTGCTGGTACTGCTGCGCAGGTGCTACAGACACTCCCGCTGCTCCTGCCAAGTTGGTGATACTGCCGATCCTGTTGCTGCGAATGCTGTTGGGTTCGCTGCTACTGCGCGGTAACAACCATCAGTATGGTTGTATCGTTGCTGTTGCTGCGCATGTGTATGTTGCCGCTGGGACAGCTGATTCTCTTATTTTTGTTGCTGCCAGTGCTTGCTACGACTTTTGTCAGAGGTGTTGCAGCTACTTCTGCTATTCGCACTGCTGCAGCTGGTGCCGCCAGGTAGTGGTTTCACCGCTGCCGCTGCGAAATTCGCTACAGCCAGTACTACTTCACCCTAGTAGTCCTACGATTACTATTCCTACGACTAGTTCCGCTACTACTACGACTACTACTACTACTACTACTACTACTACTCCTACTACTACTACTACTACTACTACTCCTACTACTACTACTCCTACTACTACTACTACTACTACTACTACTACTACTACTACTACTACTACTACTACGACTACGACTACGACTACGACTACGACTACACTACGACTACTACTACGACTACTACGACTACTGCTACTACACTACTACAACTACTACTACTACTACTACTACTACTACTACTACTACTACTACCACCACTACTACTACTACTACTACTACTACTACTACTACTACTACTACTACTACTACTACTACTACTACTACTACGACTACTACTACTACTACTACTACTACAATACTACGACTACTACTACTACTACTACTACTACTACTACTACTACTACTACTTACTATGACTACTACTACTATAGACTAGTAGTACGTACCTAGTACTACCACTACTACTACTACTACTTACTACTAA